TGCCTAACATACAGACACATACATGAGTCAGTCCTGTTGTGGTGCTGTGTGGTGAGCACTGCAGTTCAAAGCAACAACATGTATTTGAACAATAAGCACATATGAAGTTACTATGTTTACGCGTGTATCTGAATGAACGTTAAATTGTATCGTTGCAGACCTTCTTTCTGCCTCTATTTTTCTCATTTTCTTCCTGTTGACTGAATAAATCAAATTTGCTTTTTAATATTGTTGTTGTTAAGTGCCATCAAATTGGTTCCAACGCATAGTGACCCTGCATAGGGTTTCCGAGAAGTAGTCAGTGGGATGGAACTACTGGTTCTGTGGTTCACAGTCCAGTGCTGACCCTACGGTACCACACAGGACTTTACAATTACTCTAGAAATGACGAATTATAACTTATATCAATCTACTTAAAACTGTACTTTGTCATGCTCCACATTATGGAATAAACTTACAACTTTTGACTCCATTTTCCCCTCATGCTATTTTCCTCTCGATGTCACATACGAGTCCCGATATTCTGTGAGTCCTGAGTGACACTGTCGTGGTGTTGCTTTCTACAGCCAGGAGTGTTCTTGGTGACTGTATTTTGTAGAATTTTACAAACCATGAAGTCAGTGGAAGGAAGCGTCTGATCACTGGACTCCACCTTCCCACCCAAACCTGTGTCTCTCAGCTGGAATGCGCAGTCCTTTCCTGGGCCCGGCAGGCCTCCTTAGTCCATCCCCCGTGCCCCGGTCCCTGTCGGTTCTCCACAGACTTCGTCCTTGTTTGGGAGGAGGACCTGAAGCAGGTTCGGCAGCAGGACAGCGCCACCCAAGACAAGACACACACACACAGGACCTGGAGGGAGACCTTTCTGAATAATCTTCGTGCAGCTGGACTGCATGTGGACCAGGTACAGGGGTCTTCATCTCTCCACCTGCTTGGTGACACCACACACACACAAGGCCTCAGGGCACACCAGGCCCTTCGGTGAGTTCCCCGTGGCTGGGAGTCCTGGCCCGCACTGCCTCTAGCCCTGTCCAAGCAGTGCTCGACTGACACAGAGCGCATCCTGGTCCGGAAGCAAAGAGTAGAAGCTTTGTGGGAGCCAGCCATTCAAGGGAGATGTTCCATTTCCTACCAAATGTCTATAGGATAAGGCACTAGACGGGAAGGTTGGCAGTTGAAACTCACCAGGCATTCCTATGACTCACTATGAGTTAGACCGGGCTCAACAACCACCACCAAACCAGAGTGGAGCGTGTTTCTAAATGCAGCCGTGATGCTTATAAGATGTGATCTGTTAACCAGTAGTTACTGTGGAGATTAAAGGAAAGTCTTTGTAAACCAGCCTCATACTCAATACGAGGACTAGCCCATGGAACTGAGTGGCCCCAGGCAGGCTAACACCTGCCACATGTCTAGGCACACAAATGCTCATGCACCCACACACATGTATATACACACACGTACAACCACTCATGTGCATTTCCCTACATACTCCATGTACCCACAGGTGTGCATTCCTGTACTCACATCCACATATGTGCACATACATGTGCATTTACCCCGTGTGCATCCACACATATTGACCCACATGGCATGGACATGCATGTGCATTCACCCCATGTGGTTCACACATGCACACACATGTACCCAAGTGTGCAGTCCTGTACACACACCCACGTAAGCATACACATGCACGGACACACACATGCATTCACCCCATGTGGTTTGCACATGTACCCACGTGCATACATTCCTGTACACACGCCCACACATGTACACACGTGTGCTCACTCCATGTGTGCACACATGTTCACATGTAGGCTTGTGGACCCCCTACACACTCCACATATTGCACACACATGCACGCACACGTGAACTCACCCCATGTGGTTCACATCCACCCACATGTACCCACATGTGTACATTCCTGTGCATACATCCACATATGTGCACACACCTGTGCTCACCCTGTGTGCTCACATGCTCACACACGTACCCACATGTGTGTCCCCATACATATGACCACATGTGTGCACTCACACATACACATATGTGTTTGTCCTGTGTGCTTTCACACACCCACACATGTGTATCCACACATGTGCATTCCTGTACACAGCCCACATGCACACACATGATCACACTCCTGCATTCACCACACATATGCGCACACCCATGTGCATTCCCACGCATATACACGGACACACATGCAGATGAGTGCATTCATCTCCACATGCACCCACACGTACCCAAACAGTGCCTTCACCCACACATTTGCATGCACACAGACTAACACATATGTACACATGCATGTCCTCAGTTCTCCTTCCCTGCAGTGTGACATCCAGGACGAGGACTCAGCGGTACACTATATGCTCCTCAGTGCGGCCTGGGCTGCGCTCTGCTATTACGCGGAAGACCTGCGCCTGAAGCTGCCCCTGCAGGTACCTGGCACTCACAGGGCACAGGGCTGGCGAAGACCTCCCGGGCCCCACCCAACCCCAAGCCGTGGTCTCTGGAAGCAGCTGCTGATGCCAACGACCCCGGAGGGCTCCCACTCCTGATCTCAAACTGGGCGGGGTGGGCAGGGCTGACCTATGTGCTGGAGCCCTTGCTGAGGGTCCGGCCCTGCCCTGGGTGGTCAGGTGGGGGCTGCTCAGCCTGGATGGAAATCTGCCTGGAGCAGGTAGCTCCTGGAACTTCCCTGTGCCATGCCCGTGGCCACCATGGCAGGGAGCTGACCAATTGGCCCCTCCTCCATCCTTTCCAAGAATCTATAGAGAAGCAACCTCAGAGCCTAAGGAAGGGTCTGCTTCCGACGTCTGCCTCAAATTCCGAGTGCGGTGAGGGGGACTTTGCCTTCATCCAGCTTGATAATGACCATACCCCGCACCCCCACCCTGGTCTTTCCTGGCAGGAGTTGCCCAATCAGGCCTCTAACTGGTCAGCCGGTCTACTGGAGAAATTGAGACTTCCCAACATCCTGCAAGAGGAGGTGCCCGACCTGCCCCCCGAATACTATTCCTGCCAGTTCAAAGTGAGCAAGCTGCCCAGGTAAGGGTGGCCCCACGCCATGGACAAGCTCAGGAGGGTCACTCCAGACAAGAGCCAGGGGGATGTGTGTGCAAAAGGGCACAGAAAGTGTGTGTGTGCGACACCGACCTCGCCAGACCCCACCCTGCTGGACTCAGTGGGCCAGCTGCCATGCTGACCAGTCATTTCTAGGAGCCCCCGCAGCAGTCGGGTGGCTTGGTTAGGCTACAAACACCCTAAGGTCCACCTCTGACTCAGCTCCATGTCCACTGAGGGCTGGCACGGTGCCTGGAGATGGTCTGGTCAGTCCGGGCAGCTGGACAAGCTGGTAACATGGCCACATATAGACAGGGCAGGACTCTCTCTCCCCATGTCCACACTACAGATACTGCTTTGGTGACCGGCACTGTCTCACTGTCCACCCTAAGAAACTACCCGCTGGAAATCCAGCCTCCATCCTCGCCCCCACCCACAGGGGTCCCCAGACCTGACATCCCATTCTGTGACTACATGATCACTGCAGATTCCCCCTGTCCCTGCCCACAACATGGTCAGGCCCTGTGGGCCCAGTCTGCTGGAGAGCTGAGGGCCCTGATGTCTGAGGCATCCGAGGAAGGGGACAGCAAAACCCTTTACGTCTCCAGGTGTCAGGGTGCGGGCTCTGAGGACACGTGTGCATATGTGTGGGTCTGATGTATGTTCTGTGTGTGCTCCATGTGTGTTTGCTCCTATATCCATGTTCCTGCTCCCATGTGTGCTCAGGCTCCCGAGTGTGGGTATGCTCCCATGTGTGGGGATGTGCTCCCCTGTGTGGGTGTGATCCCACGTGGGGATGTGCTCCCATGTGTAGGGATGTGCTCTGGTATGTGGGGATGTGCTCCGGTGTGTGGGGATGTGCTCCCGTGTGTGGGGATGTGCTCCCATGTGGGGATGTGCTCCCGTGTGTGCGTAGCCATTCATGCATGCTCCTGTGTTTGCATGCCTGCATGTGAACCTGAGCTCTCCGTTCTCACCTGCGGCAGGTTCCTGGGGAGTGACAACCAGAACACCTTCTTCACCAATACCAAGCGACACCAGATTGTGAGTGGCAGCCATGCTGCAGGTCACCCCACACTGCCCCTCGTCCAGGGAACAGGAAGGCTCATGGGTGATCTTGGGCTCTGACTTTGGGCTGAGGGCTAAGACAGAAATAGGGCCCTGCTTTCAGAGGCTGCACCCCCTGCCCCTCACTGCACAGGGTGAGCATGTGATCAGGAGACAGGGTGGGGACATGCCCAAAGTGCCCAGAGGACCCTGCAGACACCCCAGGCCTGAGATAACTCTGGGTGGATAGACGTGGACAGAGCGAATCCCCAGGCCCTGGTGGGCACAGTCAGGGTCCCATGGCACAGGCTAAAGCCACCAAGGACAGCTGCTGCCCTGTGGAGTTCCCTGGGCTGGGCTGGAAACATGGTGATGCTGTGAACCAGGGGTGGGTCTGATTCTGACGAGCTGCCCCTTTGTGACCTGGAATAGTGACCATCACTGCCCAGGGGTAGTTGTGAGGAAGGTGATGCCAGGCTGAGGTGGGCCCACCTCTCCTTGTAGCCAACACCTTGACCAGCCTGTCTACCAAGGGCTGCAGGGCATCCCTGCCCCTCTGGTCACACGACAAGTGACCAGGGCTACTCTGTCCCCTACCCCACCCCAGCTGTTTGAGATCCTGGCCAAGACCCCATATGGCCACGAGAAGAAAAGCCTGTTTGGGATTGACCAGTTGCTGGCAGAAGGGGTCTTCCAGGCAGCATTCCCCCTGCATGATGTGAGTCTTGGGGGTGTCGAGGGGCCCGGGCTTGGGGGGTGCCCTGGTCAGGATGGGGCCCCAGGGGCTCCCTGGATCTCAGTGACCTACTGATAGGGTCTGACCACACCTCTGACCACATCCATACCTGGTGTCAGCAGATAAAAAACTGAAATGGTCTTTCTCCCCAGGACTCTGTGGCTTCAGTCCTCAACCTCACATGGCCACAGGGTGACTAGGTGGTCCCAGGTTTGAGCCTCCCCCCACCCCCACTGGCCTTTTGCCTCCAGGGCCCCTTTGTGTTGCCCCCTGAGGGACCACAGCCCCAGGCCCTGAACCAGCGGCAGATCCTGAGACAACACTGGGCCCGCTGGAGCAAGTGGAATAAGTACCAGCCGCTGGACCACGTGCGCAGGTACTTCGGAGAGAAGGTGGCTCTCTACTTCGCCTGGCTGGGTGAGTCTGCCCTCAGCATGATCATACCCAGCACAGCTCTCTGTGCTTGGAAGTCCCAACCTCACAAGAGGGAGGCCCACTGAGGGTCCTTCACAGCCCCTCCTGACCAACCCTCCTTGCTGGGCAGTCTCTCACTGAGTGCTTATGGTTGTGTGGGGACCCTGACTCCAAACCTACGACCACCACCTGCCTGCCTGCTCCAGAGAAGCTGCACCCTTCCCTCTGACCCCCCCTCATCTCTTCTCTCAGCCCCCTCCCACCCCGCTCTAGCCCCCCTCGCCTGCAATGCCCCTCCCCAGTTCTTGTGCCTCCAGCACCCACCCCCCCCATGTCCCTGACACTGATCCCCCACTCCTGTCAATGGACATCCCCAGCCTTCCCTGAGCAGGGTCCCTGACGCTGACCCCATGCCCCTGCAGGGTTCTATACAGGTTGGCTCCTGCCAGCAGCTGTGGTTGGCACACTAGTGTTCCTGGTGGGCTGTTTCATGATGTTCTCAGACACACCCATGTGAGTGTCCCCCCAGCACAGACCTTGTCCTGTGTCTGCTAGGGGGAGGGACCAAGGGCCAGGCCCTGTGCAGAGAGCTGGGGATGAGTGTATGGGCTTCCCTGGAGGCCAACACAGGTGGCAGGGGTGCCCTGGACTAATGAAGCTACCACCCCCACCCTAATCCCCGCAGTTCCAAAAGGGGTGTTCTGGGACATCCTGGTGGCTGTGTGCCCAGGGGTCCTTCTCCTCTCTGGGCCTCCTCCTGGGAGCCACCCACCAGGGTTAGAGGCAAACCAACGCACAACACGCATTTTTCCTTTCTTCCATGGTCTCACCCTTGCGTCTTACAACGCCGTGGGCAAGTTTCCTCCCAGAACTCAGTTTGGATTCTACTTCCTTATGGAGTTGACATTTCACAACATCGTCTCAGAACTAGTCATTTGCTTCATTTGTTAGAGCAGTTTTTAGAGCAGTTTAGGTTTGCAGCAAAGTTGCTCAGAAGCAAAGAGCTGCTGAATCCACCTGCCCTCACCCTTTCTCCTGTCATTCCCAGCCGGCTTTTGTTACATTCGTTGCAATTGATGGCTGAAATTACTACAACATTGCTAACTAAAGTCCACAGCTGACAGGACTCACGGGCTGGGGGTGGGGGGGCAGTCCTGGATTGGTGACAAAGGCATCATGCTTTGTGACCCCCATCACAGCCCTGGGCTCCCCCTGTTGGCCCCTCCCCTCCCCCACAGCCCCTGAGTTTTCACCTTTGCATCCATTTTTAAACACCATTTTTTGAGAGAGTCGCGGGCCTGACAGCCCCCCTCAGCCCTCCTCCTACAGGCAGGAGCTGTGCAGTAGTGACGACAGCTTCCAGATGTGTCCTCTCTGCTCCGACTGCCCCTTCTGGCAGCTCTCCAGTGCCTGTGCGCTGGTCAAGGTGTGTGTATGGGGGGGGCGGGCAGGACGGTGTGGGAGGTGGCTCTCCCACTGCTCCAGGGTCAAGGTGGTCAAGGTGCGGGAGAGCAAGGCCAGGGCAGGAAGGGCGGGAGGGCGGCGCTCACGGGATCCAGGTGCCCAGGGTGGGGGTGGGGTGAGGGTGATGCCAGGTTCAGGCGCTAAGTGCCAGGGAACTCCTAGGGCCTGGTCCACCTTTGGGTCACCCTCTAAATCCCCCTCCCCCCTCACTAAGGAGCTCTGGTTGCTCTGTAGGATAAGCACTGGACTTGCCTACCGCAAGGTCGGTGGTTCAGACCCACCAGCAGCTCCGCAGATGTAGCTGTCTGCTTCTGGCATTGAGTTTGGCTGGGTTTTGAGCTCCCTTCTCTGGGACAGGGAACAAGGCTGGCGCACACCTACCCAGACTCACACATTGTGTTATGTACGTCAGGGTGCAGACCCCGGGGAACCTCAGGTTCTAGTTTCCTGGGGCTCAGGGTCGTCTCCGCCTTGAACCTCTGGAGGGACTGCAAGAACAAACGGCTCAGACTTCGTGGATGGGGTGGGAGGCCCCCAAGACTGCCAGGCACCCCCCACCCCACCTCGCAGCCTGCGGTTGGGGCTGCCCCCATAACCCGTGCACTGGGTCCCAAAGCCCAGCAAGCACCCTGGAACTGCAGGAGGGAGGGAGAGGAGGAAGGCTGGGCAGGGAGCCTGGCACCGAGGGTCCAGGCGGTGCCCACTGTCGTCTGCAGGCCGGCCGGCTCTTCGACCACGGCGGCACGGTCTTCTTCAGTCTCTTCATGGCGCTCTGGGCCGTGCTGCTGCTGGAGTACTGGAAACGTAAGAGCGCCACACTAGCTTATCGCTGGGACTGCTCGGACTACGAGGACATCGAGGTGGGAGCCTGGCGTGCGCCGAGCCCCGCCCCCGCCTCGCCACGCCCTCGCCACGCCCTCCCCGGCACCGACATCCACGCCTTTCCAGGAGAGGCCACGACCCCAGTTTGCCGCCGCTGCCCCCAAGACAGCCCTGAACCCCATCACTGGCGAGGATGAACCCTACTTCCCCGAGAAGAGCCGAGCTAGGCGCATGCTGGCCGGCTCCGTGGTGGTTCTGATGATGGTACCGGCCCGCTCCCTGCCCCCAAAGGTCCTGGGAGCTGGGTTGTGGGGTGTCTGGCAGAGCACTCCCCTCCCAGACACAACCCAGCCTCGGGTCCCCATCCTGCAATCCCTCCTAGTTGGAGACTCAGCCTGGGAGGGCGGCTGGGACGGTGACAGAGGGGCTTCCTGTAGAAGCCCCTTCCCCAGAGAGAGCCAGGGCTCCCAGTTCAGGGCTCGCACGGTGTTGAGAGCAGGACCCTGAACTCCCTCGACGCCCAGAAGCCACCCCCACTTCTGCAGGACCACCCAGCCTAGAGGGTCAGACTACCACCTCCGGTCACTGGACTGGACTGAGGAGGCTGTGAAGGGAGCAAGGCGACTTCCTGGAGGAGGTGCTGAGCTGGGACTACGGAGTCCACTACTCTGCACGCCCCTCCCTCACCCCTCAGGTGGCCGTAGTGGTCATGTGCCTCGTGTCCATCATCCTGTACCGGGCCATCATGTCAATCCTGGTGTCCAGGTCGAACAACACCCTCCTGGCAGCCTGGGTAAGTCCACCCTGTTTCTGCCCAGTGGGGTGCTGACCACCATGTTTGGTCCCGTGCTGACCAAGGGTGTCCCCCCAGGCATCCCGCATCGCCAGCCTCACCGGCTCAGTGGTGAACCTCATCTTCATCCTCATCCTGTCCAAGGTCTACGTGAGCCTGGCCCACATCCTGACGCGCTGGGGTAAGCAGAGACCCAACGGCCCTGATTCTAAATGACTGACATGTCCCGGAAAGGCCTCCACTGCCCTCCAGATATCCCCAAATGGTCCTTACCTGGGCATGTGTGTGCTGGGGACTGCAGGCTGGGGCTTGGTCTCTGTGATATTTGTGTTTACACGTCCATGTGCATCTGTATGTATGTTGTTCATGTGTGTGTACATGTATAGGTGTATAGGTTGTATACATGGATGTGTGCGCATGTATGAATGTGTGCGCATGCATACATGCTTAATTCGTATGCAGGTATGTGTTGTATGCATTGTGTGCACATGTATGGATGTGTGCATATGTGTACTGCTTGTATGCATATGGGTATATGTTATATGCATATATGTATGCATGTGTATGGGTGTGTGCATGCTTGTGTGTGTTGTGTACATGTATGTGTGCACATGTATGCATGTGTGCATGTATAGATGTATATGTTGTGTGCATTGTGTGCACATGTGAAGATGCTTATATATGCTTGTATATGTGTTGGAAATGTATATGTGTATGTCTGTGTGCATGTGGTCTGTTGCATACATTTATGGATGTGTGCACATTACATGTGTGGGCGGGCATGTTATACATATGTGTATTTGTATAGCTGTGTATCATTGTGTGTATGTCTCCACACATCTGTCTGTTGCATACATTTATGGATGTGTGCACATTACATGTGTGGGCGGGCATGTTATACATACATGTATTTGTATAGCTGTGTGTCATTGTATGTATGTCTCCATACATCTGTCAGTTAGTGGCACTGTGGTGGCTTGTGTGTTGCTGTGATGCTGTATGTAAAATCCACGGTGCATAGATCTCAGCGGCACTTGCAGCCTAAGAATGGACTAGGATGAAGGACTAGGCAGTTCACTTTGGAGGGATTTGCCCCCAAACACCTTGGGCATTGCAGTATCTGCTTTGATGCTGGAAGATGAGGCCCTGAAAGCTGAAAGGCACACAAAATACGAGAGGAAGAGCTGACTCCTCAAATTTGCTCCTTAATGACATGAAAGGAGCAATGCTTTCAAGAACTTCATTTGCTAATAGGGCACGCCTCAAAGGGAGAAGACTTAACTGCAGACGCCCATTGATCATCTGAATGTGGCGTGTACAAGGCATAAATCTAGGCAAACTGGAAGTTGTCCAAAGTGAAACAGCACAGAGAAGCATTTGTGAGCTGAAACGACTGCTGTTGGCCATTCTGAATCAGACATTCATATGGTTTACTATTAAAGAAGAATGCCTTCACATCCATCAGTAAAAGAACATCTCAAGTTCTCTCTTGAAATACAATGCTGTCTATGACAAGACAGTCTCTATATACCTACAAGACACACCTTTTAAGACAGCTGTTACTCAAATTTACGCACTACTAAGAATTCTACCAACTTCTTCAGTCTGAAATTATCAACCTTGAAATCAAGATGCCTTGATAATTAATGACGATTGGAATGCAAAAGTTGGAAACAAAGAGGAGGGATTGGTAGTTGGAAAATATGCTTTGTTGGAGGAAAGGACACTAGAGATTGTTGGAGGAAAGGACACTAGAGATTGTTG